GTCATGTATGGATGTGAGAGTTGGACTATAAAGAAAGCTGAGCGCTGAAGAATTGATGCTTTTGAACTGTGGTGTTGGAGAAGACTCTTGAGAGTCCCTTGGACTGCAAGGAGATCCAACCAGTCCATCCTAAAGGAGATCAGTCCTGGGTGTTCATTGGAAGGACTGATGCTGAAACTGAAACTCCAGTACTTTGGCCACCTGATTCAAAGAGCTGATTCATTTGAAAAGACCCTGATGCTTGGAAAGATTGAGGGCAGGAGGAGAAGGGGATGACAGAGGATAAGATGGTTGGATGGCATCACTGACTCAATGGACATGGATTTGGGTGGACTCCGGGAGTTGGTGATGGACAGTGAAGCCTGGAGTGCTGCTCGTTCATGGGGTTGCAAAGAGTCCGTCACGACTGAGCGACTGAACTGAACTAGGCAAATAGTTTTGATCTTGTGGATTTCCTGAAAGTGTCTCAGCGTGGCAGCAGTGGGGTGTGGGTCCCAAGAACACACATAACACACACATTGCAAGTTTGTGATACAGAGAAGTCATTTCACCCTAAGAGGCTTAAAATTTTTCATCTGTAGAAGGCTTAATAATAATAAAGTATCTTTATTCAATACCTTATAATAATCTATGATGAAAAAGAATGAGAAAGAGTATATATATATATTTATGTGTAACTGAATCATCTTGCTGTACACTTGAAACTAACAGCGTTGTAAATCAACTACTTCAAGTAAAAAAATAATAAATTAACAGCACTTTTCTGTTGAGGTAATTTTGAAAATTAATTGTGAATATGTACGTAGAAAGCTTAACAGTGCTTAGAACTTAGTAAACACATAATAAATATTATCTATTATTTTTGCTGGAGTGGTGATTGCCTCTCTTGGTTCTCATTTGAATAAGATTTCCAGATTAATAATTTCCTATAAAATGGAGTACTGTTTTGTTTGTCCAGCTTTTTATTTAAATAGCTCAAGCATAAATTTTTCTGCCACCAGTACTGTCCAAAACCAATTATATAGCTCAAGTGCTGTCATTGAGGCCCTTTATTCATCATAGCTGGCAAGTATTCCATTAGTGGCAGTCATACATGTTTTGTTCTCTGGTTTGTTCTTTGTCTTATCTTTTGTTTTCAGACAGTATTGTCCTAATTAGTTAATTATACACAGATTCATTGTGTTCAGTACTAGCTTTAGTACTGGCCTCTTACCAAATGTGGTACTCCTGCAATTCAGCAATGCATTTAAGGAGTTTCAGGTTGTATGACTATACAATAATTAGTCCCTACTTGCCCTCTCCTAATTTGTGGATAGCTTAGTTTTGTAGAAACTTGTCAGATGGAACACATTACTAAGGGCAGGCAAATTCCCCTGAGAGAATTGAGAGTGGAAAGAGAAATCTGAACTGAATGGGAATAGTGACAGGAAAGATACCTCCTGATTATTTATCCCCTACATGGCATTGGTAGTAAGCAGAGCACCCAGAGCCTAGGATGGTGGTAGTGGTTTAGTTGCTAAGTTGGTTGTGACTTTTGCGACCCCGTGGACTGTAGCCCACAGGGCTCCTCTCTCCATGGGATTCTCCAGGCAAGAATACTGGAGTGGGTTGCCATTTCCTTCTCTATATTTATGAAATATAGAGGCTTTCATATTTCCAAGGCTTTGCATATGTATGTATTTAGGCACTGGGGACAGAGCAGTATACAGACCAGACAAATATTCCTGTCCTCCCAGAGATTACCTTCCTGTGGAACAACACACACAGCAAACTAAAACCTGTAGCATGTTTGTCATAAATGGTATGGAGAAAAGAGCAGAGTGAACAGGCGGAACTGCTGTCCGTGAAGGTACTGTGTTAAATCAGGTCAGGCGAGGGGATTCCCTGCAGTCTAGTGTTAGGACTCCGTGCTCTCACTGCCAGAGGCCTGGGTTCAATCCCTGATTGAGGAACTAAAATCCCTCAAGCAGCGTAGCCTGGCCAAAAAATATATCTATATATATCAGGGGAGTCAGGGAAGGTTTTACTGATAAGGTCATATCTGATCGGAGACCTGAAGAGAGTGAAAGCATGAGCCATGCATTTACATGTGGGGAAGGGCTTGCTTTCCTATCAGCAGAAATAGCAAGAGCAAAGTTTCTGAACGCTTGATGTGTTCAGGAAATAAGCTGATAGTGTAGAATGAGCTGTAGTAGGAGGTGAGAAGTAAGGAGGAAGTGGAGTATTGATAGAAGAGAGAAAAGAGACCCTGTCAGTGCCAGGGACTTATAGATAATCTGGGCCTTACAGGGACTAAACTGAACTCAAAGTATTAGTAGTCAGGGTCAATTAAAGACCACCTTGTTTTAGTTTTGAACAAACAAAATTTAGTGTACAGGCGTATAATCTGAAACCCCTTAACACTTTCCTTTGTTACCTTAATACTTTTATTCATACTACTGATAATTGAGAGTGCTATTAATTAGCAAATTTTAATTGTACTTTGTGTTTCACGACTGCTTATTGATTTTTTTGTTTGTTTGTTTTTTTAAGATTCGGTTCTATGAACTAGTAAATCCATTAAGAAAGGAAATCTCTGAACTACAAGTGAAAAAGAATCACCTGGCAGAAGAATTAAGTGCAAACAAAAGTCAATTGAAACAACTGACTGAGGTTTGTCTAATTTTGATCCCTGGTGGTTAAGAGACTCCAAGGAGGTCTTAAGATTTGTGATAAGGAGTATAAAAGTCAGTGATAGAAAAATGAGACTTGAGCATGCTGACTGCTATGATTCTTCATAAGCAGTGGGAAGGAGATGAGACTGCAAATAGCTATCTTAAAGATTGATAGGGTACGTCCATGATACTGACCTGTAATCCCCAGCTGAGTGTTTTGTTCTTGTAATTCATTCATTCTCAATTCTTCATTACAGATCCACCTCGTGGGTGATACGAAAGGGAGCCTGGTCCATTTATTAGTCATTTAGTCTCTTCATCAAATACAGTTACTTCCCCTAATATCTGTTCAGAGCACATGCACTGATACTAGCATCCATCCCTGTGAGGCAAGGTGCTGACAGTGGTGAATACAAGTGTCTGCCCTTCCAGAGTTCAAATTCTAGTAAGGTGGAGTTATACCTTAGATGAGATCTTGACACTCATTTTTTGTGTGACCTTGAACAAGTCATTTAGTGTTTCCTGCTCTGTCAAAGGGAGAAAATAATCTTATTTTTCCATTCATTTCATTGACGTGCCCACACTTCTGTTTCAAAGTGAAAATGTGATTTTTAGTAAACTTGCAAATAAATAGCTGTTTTTTGTTCTACTTCAAGGGCAACTTTTACCAAAGATCTACTTTCCAGAAATAAATTATTGCAATTTAATTTATATTCTGATGCTCTGATTTGCTGCACTATTAGTGCTGGATGGAATCTACTTCTGTTGTTAGTATAGAGCCACTATTGCAGGCAAATGAAGGCTCAGCTTCCTTCTTCTGGCAGGAGCCCTGAAGTCATCAGGAGCGATGCCGGAGAACCCTACAGGGTCTGTTGTGGTGGTTTTATTTCTGCTGCTAACCTGCCACATTGTTATACACATTTAGAAAGATAGCTCTTAATTTTAAAAAATCGCATCCAGAGTCACAGTAATAAAGGACAAAGTCAGAAGGCCTCCGTTTGTCTTCTGACTGATTTTGCAGTCTTGGGCAAGTCCTCTACTTCCTGTTGTCTCTGTTAAATGGCCGGGGTGGCGGCGGCGGTGGCACAGGGTTTGTCCGGGACAAGGCAGACGGATTTTCAGACTTGGTTCTGCAGCACATTATGGTACCTCAGCATCCATCAGGGACTTCTTGTATTTTAGAGGGAGTCTGGAAGAGCTCTCTATCCTCGTTTCTATCAAATCACCTCTTTTTTAATTCGCTTTTGACATTTGGGGATTCTACAAGTGATTTCTCCTGAACAAAGGATTCTTTGACCGCGCCCCCCCCCCCAAAAGTCCTGAATCTCTAAAATTATCATATTTTTACTGTGTGGTAAAGCAAGTCTCTCTACTCTCAAGGGTCAGTAATTATATTCCAGATTTTAGTTTGTTTCAGCCTTACTAACACCTTTAGTGTTTTACTGACATGAAAGCATGGATAATTAACACTGGTTTCGTTCACAGGGTCCCCGAGTGTTTTTAGTGCACTAATAATTCTTAAACACAGAAATGGTTTTCTTTGTGAACATCTTTGGGTTCTCCAGAAAAAACAAAACCAATAGGACATATAAATATTTATGGATAGAGATATATTTTAAGAAATTTGCTCACATAGTTGTAGCAAACTATGTGCAAACTTCACGTGCATGTATGCTTATCACTTCAGTCGTGTCTGACTCTTTGCACCCCTATGGACTGCAGCCCACCAGGCTCCTCTGTCCATGGGATTCTCCAGGCAAGGATACTGGAGTGGGTTGCCACACCCTCCTCCAGGGGAATCTCCTAGACCCAGGGATCGAACCTACGTCTTTTACATCTCCTGCATTGGCCGGTGGGTTCTTTACCACTAGCGCCACCTGGGAATCCCCTGTAGAGGCTTGGCGAGCCCCAAATCTTAACAGGGTAAGCTGGCAGCCTGGAAATTCAAGAGAAGGTTGCAGTTTGAGTCCAAAGACTATCTGCTGACAAAATTCCTTCTTATTCAGTCTCACTTTTACTAAGGCCTTAACTGGTTGGATGAGGTCCCCAACATTATGGGAGGTAAACTGCCATCCTCAAAGTCTACTGGTTTAAATGTTAATCTCAGCTTAAAAAATGTCTTCACAGAAACATCTAAATTAATGTTTGACAAAATATTTGGGTACCATGGTCTAACCAAGTTGACGTAAAAAATTAACCATCACAGAATCTTTCCATCTACGAGTTTGCTTCTTAAAGTTTTACCACCTTTCAGCTAAAAATACAATCCTATGTCTTAAAACTCTTCCTGAATTTCATACTATAAAGGGAATATTGAATCACCTTCAGGAAAAAAGAGTTTAATAATGCCTTATCTCTATAATAAAAGGTCTTAGAAACTCAGAGAATATGGTTTAAACATAATGGAATTACTTTTGTATTAAAACCACCCTTAAAGTTAGATTTTCTGCTCTGGCAAGGGCCTATTACAGATCAACTTACCCAACACAAAGAAAACATAGAACGAATATTTTTATTTTGTTTGTATTTTTTATTTTTATTTTTTGGCTATGCCATGTGGGATCTTAGTGGGATTTAGTTCCCTGACCGGGAATGGACCCTGTGCCCTCTGCAGTGGAAGTGCAGAGCCTTAACCACTGGGACCACCAAGGAAGTCCCTAGACTGAATATTTTTAAATGAAAAGTTAAACCAGCAAGGACTTTTTTTTTTAATAAGGGTATAGTGAATAAATGTTAATATTTAATGTTAAAAGAAATTTTGTTTGGCACTATTTTGTGGAGGTTTATTTTTTTAGGTAGTTTGTTAAATTATTTACTGCTTTGATATTTGGGGAGTTCATAGATACTAGTTTAAGTTTCATCTCTGCAGTTTGATGATGGTGTAATGATCTTGGATAAAGAACTGAGTCTTCTTTACTCCTCCCTTCAGTCCCCATGATAAAAATATGGATGAGAATATGTAACACCTCCATCACTTACATGGTCATTATTATGATAATAAAATTCAGTCAATAAATATTCACTGTACATCTGTTATGTGCCAAGCATTGTTATAGGTATGTAGGGGTCCACTAGCGCCACCTGGGAATCCCCTGTAGAGGCTTGGCGAGCCCCAAATCTTAACAGGGTAAGCTGGCAGCCTGGAAATTCAAGAGAAGGTTGCAGTTTGAGTCCAAAGACTATCTGCTGACAAAATTCCTTCTTATTCAGTCTCACTTTTACTAAGGCCTTAACTGGTTGGATGAGGTCCCCAACATTATGGGAGGTAAACTGCCATCCTCAAAGTCTACTGGTTTAAATGTTAATCTCAGCTTAAAAAATGTCTTCACAGAAACATCTAAATTAATGTTTGACAAAATATTTGGGTACCATGGTCTAACCAAGTTGACGTAAAAAATTAACCATCACAGAACCTTTCCATCTACAAGTTTGCTTCTTAAAGTTTTACCACCTTTCAGCTAAAAATACAATCCTATGTCTTAAAACTCTTCCTGAATTTCATACTATAAAGGGAATATTGAATCACCTTCAGGAAAAAAGAGTTTAATAATGCCTTATCTCTATAATAAAAGGTCTTAGAAACTCAGAGAATATGGTTTAAACATAATGGAATTACTTTTGTATTAAAACCACCCTTAAAGTTAGATTTTCTGCTCTGGCAAGGGCCTATTACAGATCAACTTACCCAACACAAAGAAAACATAGAACGAATATTTTTATTTTGTTTGTATTTTTTATTTTTATTTTTTGGCTATGCCATGTGGGATCTTAGTGGGATTTAGTTCCCTGACCGGGAATGGACCCTGTGCCCTCTGCAGTGGAAGTGCAGAGCCTTAACCACTGGGACCACCAAGGAAGTCCCTAGACTGAATATTTTTAAATGAAAAGTTAAACCAGCAAGGACTTTTTTTTTTAATAAGGGTATAGTGAATAAATGTTAATATTTAATGTTAAAAGAAATTTTGTTTGGCACTATTTTGTGGAGGTTTATTTTTTTAGGTAGTTTGTTAAATTATTTACTGCTTTGATATTTGGGGAGTTCATAGATACTAGTTTAAGTTTCATCTCTGCAGTTTGATGATGGTGTAATGATCTTGGATAAAGAACTGAGTCTTCTTTACTCCTCCCTTCAGTCCCCATGATAAAAATATGGATGAGAATATGTAACACCTCCATCACTTACATGGTCATTATTATGATAATAAAATTCAGTCAATAAATATTCACTGTACATCTGTTATGTGCCAAGCATTGTTATAGGTATGTAGGGGTACCTCAGTGAATAAAGCAAAGATCTCCGGCCTTGTGAAAATTATATTTTAAAAGGAGTGCAGGGAAACAAACAGTAAACATTATATTAGAAAGGAAGCTCAAAGTGAGCTCTCAAATTTACAGACAGCAAAGTTTTTGAGGGGTAGAATACTGTTACCAGTAAGGCAAATTGGAGGACCATCTCAGAAGATAAGTAAACATGTGTTTTCTTTTATACATCTCATAGCTTATGATCCCAAAATTAGCTCATTCAAAATTGATTAGCAGCCCTAGAGAGTGTAATTTTTTTCTGTTTTATTATGAAAGTTTTCAAGCTATAGATAACTAGAAAAAATTTTACAGGGAACACCTAATTTCTGCCTGATAATTTATACTTACCTTAATCTGTCCATCCACCAGTAATATTTATTTTATGAGAAATTGCCAGATTTTTCTTTAATGTATCAGTAGTTCCCTTATATTGTTGGGGAATATTTAATTGTATGGATATATTCATTCTCCCTTGATGGGTTTTTGAGTTATTTCCACTTTGAACACATTATAAGTGAAGCTGCTCCAGACTTTTGAACATTGGTTTTGTGTGGACATACATTTTTGTTTTTTCTTAGGTAAAATTTAAGAGTGATATTTTTTACTTCTAGATTTCTGTTGTTTATTATTATTTTTATTGCTCTGGTATTTGTTTTTTCATTATGAGCATATTTTCCTTTATACCACTGAGAATAG